TTCTGTAAATTGGATTGGAATTCGATTATTATTCCTCGAATTTTGGCAACGAATATCAATCAACATTTTTTTTCTTTCTCTGTTCATATCGCTCAGCTGATCATGGTAACCAAACTGATTACGAGATAACTTCAATTGAAATTTAAGAAATTATATTTACTTAACTAAATTCCGAGTTATTGAAGTAAAGAAAACTTTGCCTGTTTATATATTCAACTAGTTTAAATGCTTGTAACTACAAGCACGTAAATGAACTAGACTTGAATTTGAACAACTACATACTTGTAAAATCCTACCATATTATATTTTTTTTCCATAGATTTGAACACATGGGATGGAGTAAAAGAATTAGGTTTTATTCATTGTCATTTAGTTAGCGTAACTAACGTCGTCGATGTGGTCGCTACTCGCCTCCATCTCACAATTGTGTTTCATGGTGACATTCAAGACAGAATATTGCAATGGCTTGACGGTTCCTTTTGTTCCAGTGAGGTTGAGGTTACCTCGTGCTTCCTCTCAAAATTTAAAGAGGTAGACCTACAGAAAGGTGGTTTGAATTCAGAGCTTTCCTTTTCCTAGACAACCAAGGTTATAGTGTCCTGTCTGCCCAGGTGTTTACTCATAGCTGGGCGAGGACAGATGGATTCATACATTTACCAAGGGTATCGGCACGCAAAGTTAATGTAATGACCTAGACTTAGTTTCGAAATGGACTTTCCGATTCCTCAATCTGGGCCTCTTCTCTTCGAAAAAAAAGATATCTTAAGGTGTTCATATTCAAACTGGGTACCACATCCAATGGTGCAAAACCTGATCTGATCATCGTGAACAAAAAAAAGAAAACCTGCAAGGTAATGGACGTTGATTTTCCAGCAAACCCCAGAGTTAAGATGATCTATTATGTGTCCATGCAGGACATGGGCGATCATGGCTTTCACATCTTCCTATCACTTGTAGTTCTAAACACTGTTTATTGTCTGTTATCATTTGTCCCTCCTGTTTTCACTCTATCCTGTCAATGTTAAGTTCTCCAAACCTTCATTCCTTATTAGGTGTCCCAGATATTCTAGGTGTCTACTTCTTATTTTAAATATAAGTGTTGTTTTATTTCGCATTTTCTTTAACGTTTCCTCGTTGCTCGCATATTCAGTCCAGTGGAATCTCAGCATCATTCTGTCGATTTGAGTGACTTCTTCATCTGGGAAGAATTTTTTCAGCATTCACTGCCATACAGGAGAATAGACATAACATAGCAGTTCATCGCTCTAGTTTCTTTTTATCAACATTCTCCTATCTCTTAATACCATGATCGTTTTCCTAATGCCTCTTCGCATCTTGCATATGCCAATAAACTTCATCCTGGTTAAGACGATAAACTATATTCAACAGCAAGGCTTCTGATCAGCAGGTTTTAAGGGGGCGTGGAACTACTTCTTAATTGCTGGTGTTCACGCTGGCCCGAGGTGAAAGCACGTATTAGGTTCTCAGCTATGGGAAAATAGTTGACCCATTCCCCAAAATGGGGTCAAAACACTATGAAAGTAAAAAAATAGATTTTAATACAGTAATACTTTTTTGTAGTAAATTATTACGAGCAATGAATTTTTGAAGGAAACTATTATTACCAGCAATACATTTTTGAAGGAAAGAAGTATTACCAGCAATATATTTTGGGGAAAATTATTACCAGCAATAAAAATCTTGTTGGTATTAAATAACCCATTGAGGTTGATATGACGTAAAACAAACGAAACCAATGCGTTTTCGGATTTATGTATCGAATTATCCGTCGACTTAATTTACACTATAGAGATAAGTAAATGCCTGCACTTGCTTATTTCCGACGTATCCGATTCTTAATTTTCAGTTCAACCGCCTCTCTTGTTGACGACAATTATTTATTGTATTTTTTTAATACTTAATAGTTAGTCGATGGACAGAGAGAGTAAGCAGCAAGCAAGTCATAGAGAAAATGGCAACGGACAGAACACTTGTATTCAGAATCATGAAAAAAAAGTTGAAATTCCTTGGATTCATAATTGAGAAAGGAACGTTTAGAAAATGTAAGCTACCCGCACGTGGCATATTGAGAGCAAGATATAGGAAGGCGACAAGCCAATTTACCCGACGAGATTGTGTGAATGGATGAACGGCAAAACGGACAGGGCGGAACGGACAGGGCGGAGGCTTAACAAAGAGATAAAAACTGCTAAGGGCTACAAAAGATAGACGATCATGACTCTTCATAATTTCCTATGTCCGAAATAAACGTGACACATAGAAGTTGATTCTTTCTTCCTCACTGCCCACTTTACATGTTCTTGTAGATTTTCTACTGAGTCTTCTATCAACAGAGTGTTTTCTGTCTATCCTTTGTTCTTAAGATTATGTTCACCGATATTTAACCCTGGTAGGTACTCCATTTCTCGTACGATCGTTTCGCTGTATAGGTTAAACAAATTCGCCGGGAAAAACACATCCTTTTTTATTCCCCTTTACATTTTTATGTACGTGTTTAACGAATTTTCTGTCCGCATGCAGGTAGTTTGTTCCCAGTAAATGTGATCTTTCCACATAAATCAAGTTTTCGTCGCAGTTCCAGTAATTCTTTGTCGTACCTTACCAAATTCTTTTGCGTAGTCCGTGAAAAACACTAAAGGGAAAGTAAAGTTATAACTGATGCTTTTGGAATTTGCCAAAACATTAGAATTGAAACTGGATTAATTCAAAAATGGAAGAAAAATTAAGTCTTTCAAAAATGAATAATAATAATAATAATGATAATAATAATGATGATAATAATAATAATAATGAGAAGAAGAAGAATATTATTATTAATAGTAAGAAGAAGAAGAGGAATTATAAGAAGAAGAATATTAATAATAATACGTAAAAGAATAATATTAATAATGATAATAATACGATTATTAATAATAATAATAAAATAAGAATTATAATATTAATGAGAAGAATATTAATAAGAAGAATATTAATAATAACAAGAAAAAGAATATTAATAATAATAAAATGAATAATAATAATAATAATAATAATAATAATAATAATAATAATAATTACGAACATTCTTGCAATAACGAATGGAAGAACTGCAGAACCGAAACATTTGTATTGAGTCTGATGAGAGTGTCATAATGAGAGTGTCTCACATAATAATAATAATAATAATAATAATAATAATAATAATAATAATAATATGAAGGGTTTTGAAAAGCTCTCGCTTCAACGAAATAGAAGGAACGTAGATGCTCCATATATTCTGTCTACTGTTCAGCCGACTTAGTCCATCTTTTTTCAACTGTTCGAAAGCAAATATTAATTATTGATTTTGGTGAGAAAATCAATCATAGTATGTCAAGTACCCTCTAATAGTAATAATGATAATAATAATGTCATAATGTGGGACGTTCTGGCCACTGTTGCCTTAGGGCAACACTGAGGGGTTGGTGTCTATATCAACCATCTTATAGACTTATATTAAGAAAATCGATATAACGCCTAGTGTCCTATCACTTCAGCAGTCTGTGTTTTTGACACTGCAAATACTCTGTGATAAGTGCTCTCTGTTTCAAATAGCAACAATAGGAAATCCCCAGTTGAAAGCGAAAAACTGTGTTGAAGAAGCGAAAACGCTAATAATAATTGTACTGATAAAATCCTTCTTAAAAATAATGAAATATACTCAACAAATCGTTAGGTAACGAAATATATATCCCCTCACTACAAACAACTAACTTTATCTAAGCGCAGCCGAGGTACCAGGCGTTGCCCCAGTGTATATGGCTGCAATTGTATAACCTCCCCACCCCGTATACCCGCAACCCTTTGTCAGGCCCACTTGCATGCATCATCCATTGGTATACTAAGCTGCTTCCTCACCTCATCTTTTTTTACGGTATGTCTTTCGCAAGTGTTTGAGTGTTCTTAATAAAGGAATTCCATCGATAAAGCCTGCTTGTGTGGTTGCTGCTCGGGGTTAAATTGTTTCAATGTTTCAGTAAATTTCCTATGGACGTAATAACTTTCAAATATTATGGATAAAGCGTCGAAGCTTGATTCAACTGCAAGTACAAACGCATGAACACCCTCTCCTTCTTCGTACGTTTACTGTAAAGCTGGGGTCAATAAGAGGTACCTTAGAAATTGTTCCCTTTTAACGCTTCAATAATCCTTCCCAAACAATCTTTGCATCAAAGGTTGTTCGCATGCCAATTTAGGATGGAATCGTATAAAGAAAATATTGGCTAAGTGGTAAAAGCCGATTTTGAACCTAGTTTGTTGCAATTTTCGTCAACTTAAGTGAAATAATCTAAACCAAACTTTTACCCCAGACAATTTGTGTGTCATATGTAATTTACATGCCAAATTTGGAAAGTATCGGATGAAAAACCAGGGAATTATGGCCAAAAACGGGCTTTTTAAACAGTTCTCCGTAATTTTTCTTTATACGTAGAGAAGTGAGCATACTTTCTTCTTTTTTGCATGATGGCAATTTTTTGCTCCGTGTTTGAAGAATATCGGATAAAAAATGAGGAAATTATTCAGGTTTTTATTTTAAGTAGTACAAAAAACCCCGATTTTTTACAGTTTTTTACATTTTTTTTTGTGTGTGTGAAGCCAGTGTCGCAGGAAAACTATCAAGCACTCTACATAAACCTCGTAACATGACCTATGTTTTGCATCAAGTGCAAGAACATCAGCTCATCCAGTAAAAATTTTGTTGACGTGTAACTTTGCTTTGGTTTTTGCAAAAAGTCGTGCATACCTTCAGTTTTATCGATTCTTTTTAGTAAACTCGTGGCAGGGGACTAGAGATTGAAAAGTTGATCTTGACCTAGTTTGGTAAATTTACAATAGGTGTATACAATTGCATCGAAATCGGCCAAGAAATGTCGACGTGCATAAATAGCGCGCGCGCACACACACACACACACACATCCGTTTTATAGATAAATCACTCTAATCACTCTTTTTTTCTTTCTATGCTACACACTTTGTCTCTTTCTCTATTTCTCTCGCGGTCTGTTTCCGCTTTCTTCCTCGGAGACTCAACACAGTAAAAATCTGTAACAAATTCGAGAAAGAAAAATGTTAAAAAAAGAAGAATATTAATTTCAAAATGTCACATGATGTTACGGGGCCGATTTGTCATCAACAGATCGTTAGGTCACGAATCATGACTTAACCCATCATTACAAATAAATACCTTTGTCTTAAAATGACACACACCAATCACTCTGTCGAACACTTTTTTGCTTCTCTTCATTCCTCACTGTTTTTATGTGTTACTCTTTATGCTCCACTCTTTTTTCTGTTTGCCTTTCCAATCCCCCTCTGTATCGCAGTCTTCTTTGTCTCTCTACGTGCCTCGTTATTTTTTCTGTTTTACTCTCTATGCAACACTCTCTTCCTGGTTGCCTTTCCAATCCCCCTCTGTATCGCAGTCTTCTTTGTCTCTCTACGTCCCTCGTTATTTTTTCTGTTTTACTCTCTATGCAACACTCTCTTCCTGGTTGCCTTTCCAACCCCCCTCTGTATCGCAGTCTTCTTTGTCTCTCTACGTGCCTCGTTATTTTTTCTGTTTTACTCTCTATGCAACACTCTCTTCCTGGTTGCCTTTCCAATCCCCCTCTGTATCGCAGTCTTCTTTGTCTCTCTACGTGCCTCGTTATTTTTTTCTGTTTTACTCTCTATGCAACACTCTCTTCCTGGTTGCCTTTTTCCAATCCCCCCTCTTTATCGCAGTCTTCTTTTCTCTCTCTACGTCCCTCGTTATTTTTTCTGTTTTACTCTCTATGCAACACTCTCTCTTCCTGGTTGCCTTTCCAACCCCCCCTCTGTATCGCAGTCTTCTTTTGTCTCTCTACGTCCCTCGTTATTTTTTTTCTGTTTTACTCTCTATGCAACACTCTCTTCCTGGTTGCCTTTCCAATCCCCCTCTGTATCGCAGTCTTCTTTGTCTCTCTACGTGCCTCGTTATTTTTTCTGTTTTACTCTCTATGCAACACTCTCTTCCTGGTTGCCTTTCCAATCCCCCTCTGTATCGCAGTCTTCTTTGTCTCTCTACGTGCCTCGTTATTTTTTCTGTTTTACTCTCTATGCAACACTCTCTTCCTGGTTGCCTTTCCAATCCCCCCTCTGTATCGCAGTCTTCTTTGTCTCTCTACGTGCCTCGTTATTTTTCTGTTTTACTCTCTATGCAACACTCTCTTCCTGGTTGCCTTTCCAATCCCCCTCTGTATCGCAGTCTTCTTTGTCTCTCTACGTGCCTCGTTATTTTTTCTGTTTTACTCTCTATGCAACACTCTCTTCCTGGTTGCCTTTCCAATCCCCCTCTGTATCGCAGACTTATTTCTCTCTCTACGTCCCTCGTTATTTTTTCTGTTTTACTCTCTATGCAACACTCTCTTCCTGGTTGCCTTTCCAATCCCCCTCTGTATCGCAGTCTTCTTTGTCTCTCTACGTCCCTCGTTATTTTTCTGTTTTACTCTCTATGCAACACTCTCTTCCTGGTTGCCTTTCCAATCCCCTCCTGTTTCGCAGTCTTCTTTGTCTCTCTACGTGCCTCGTTATTTTTTCTGTTTTACTCTCTATGCAACACTCTCTTCCTGGTTGCCTTTCCAATCCCCTCTGTATCGCAGTCTTCTTTGTCTCTCTACGTGCCTCGTTATTTTTTCTGTTTTACTCTCTATGGAACCTCTCTTCCTGGTTGCCTTTCAATCCCCTCTGTATCGCAGTCTTCTTTGTCTCTACGTGCCTCGTTATTTTTCTGTTTTACTCTCTATGCAACACTCTCTTCCTGGTTGCCTTTCCAATCCCTCGCTGTTTCGCAGTCTTCTTTGTCTCTCTACGTGCCTCGTTATTTTTTCTGTTTTACTCTCTATGCAACACTCTCTTCCTGGTTGCCTTTCCAATCCCCCTCTGTATCGCAGTCTTCTTTGTCTCTCTACGTCCCTCGTTATTTTTTTTTCTGTTTTACTCTCTATGCAACCTCTCTTCCTGGTTGCCTTTCCAATCCCCCTCTGTATCGCAGTCTTCTTTGTCTCTCTACGTGCCTCGTTATTTTTTTCTGTTTTACTCTCTATGCAACACTCTCTTCCTGGTTGCCTTTCAATCCCCCCTCTGTATCGCAGTTTTCTTTGTCTCTCTACGTGCCTCGTTATTTTTTCTGTTTTACTCTCTATGCAACACTCTCTTCCTGGTTGCCTTTCCAATCCCTCGCTGTTTCGCAGTCTTCTTTGTCTCTCTACGTGCCTCGTTATTTTTCTGTTTTCCTCTCTATGCAACTTCTTTGTCTCTCTTCCTGGTTGCCTTTTCCAATCCCCCTCTGTATCGCAGTCTTCTTTGTCTCTCTACGTGCCTCGTTATTTTTTTCTGTTTTACTCTCTATGCAACACTCTCTTCCTGGTTGCCTTTCAATCCCCCTCTGTATCGCAGTCTTCTTTTGTCTCTCTCTACGTGCCTCGTTATTTTTTTCTGTTTTACTCTCTATGCAACACTCTCTTCCTGGTTTGCCTTTCCAATCCCTCCCCTGTTTCGCAGTCTTCTTTGTCTCTCTACGTGCCTCGTTATTTTTTTCTGTTTACTCTCTATGCAACACTCTCTTCCTGGTTGCCTTTCCAATCCCCCTCTGTATCGCAGTCTTCTTTGTCTCTCTACGTCCCTCGTTATTTTTCTGTTTTATTTTTTCTGCAACTTCTCTCTTCACTCTCTTCTGGTTGCCTTTCCAATCCCCCCCTCTGTATCGCAGTCTTCTTTGTCTCTCTACGTGCCTCGTTATTTTTTTCTGTTTTACTCTCTATGCAACACTCTCTTCCTGGTTTTTCCAATCCCCCCTCTGTATCGCAGACTTATTTTCTCTCTACGTCCCTCGTTATTTTTCTGTTTTACTCTCTATGCAACACTCTCTTCCTGGTTGCCTTTCCAATCCCCCTCTGTATCGCAGTCTTCTTTTCTCTCTACGTCCCTCGTTATTTTTTTCTGTTTTACTCTCTATGCAACACTCTCTTCCTGGTTGCCTTTCCAATCCCCTCCCTGTTTCGCAGTCTTCTTTGTCTCTCTACGTGCCTCGTTATTTTTTTCTGTTTTACTCTCTATGCAACACTCTCTTCCTGGTTGCCTTTCCAATCCCCCCTCTGTATCGCAGTCTTCTTTGTCTCTCTACGTGCCCTGTTTTCGTTTTTTTCTGTTTTACTCTCTATGGAACACTCTCTCTTCCTGGTTGCCTTTCCAATCCCCCTCTGTATCGCAGTCTTCTTTCTTTGTCTCTCTACGTGCCTCGTTATTTTTCTGTTTTACTCTCTATGCAACCTCTCTTCCTGGCCTTTTGCCTTTCCAATCCCCTCCCTGTTTCTGCAGTCTTCTTTGTCTCTCTACGTGCCTCGTTATTTTTTTCTGTTTTACTCTCTATGCAACACTCTCTTCCTGGTTGCCTTTTCCAATCCCCCTCTGTATCGCAGTCTTCTTTGTCTCTCTACGTGCCTCGTTATTTTTTCTGTTTTACTCTCTATGCAACACTCTCTTCCTGGTTGCCTTTCAATCCCCCTCTGTATCGCAGTCTTCTTTGTCTCTCTACGTGCCTCGTTATTTTCTGTTTTACTCTCTATGCAACACTCTCTTCCTGGTTGCCTTTCCAATCCCCCCTCTGTATCGCAGTTTTCTTTGTCTCTCTACGTGCCTCGTTATTTTTTCTGTTTTACTCTCTATGCAACACTCTCTTCCTGGTTGCCTTTCCAATCCCTCGCTGTTTCGCAGTCTTCTTTGTCTCTCTACGTGCCTCGTTATTTTCTGTTTTTTTTTCTGTTTTTACTCTCTATGCAACTTGTCTCTCTCTTCCTGGTTGCCTTTCCAATCCCCTCTGTATCGCAGTCTTCTTTGTCTCTCTACGTGCCTCGTTATTTTTTCTGTTTTACTCTCTATGCAACACTCTCTTCCTGGTTGCCTTTCCAATCCCCCTCTGTATCGCAGTCTTCTTTGTCTCTCTACGTGCCTCGTTATTTTTTCTGTTTTACTCTCTATGCAACACTCTCTTCCTGGTTGCCTTTCCAATCCCTCCCTGTTTCGCAGTCTTCTTTGTCTCTCTACGTGCCTCGTTATTTTTTCTGTTTTACTCTCTATGCAACACTCTCTTCCTGGTTGCCTTTCCAATCCCCCTCTGTATCGCAGTCTTCTTTGTCTCTCTACTGTCCTCGTTATTTACGTGCTCTCGTTTTACTCTCTATGCAACACTCTCTTCCTGGTTGCCTTTCCAATCCCCCTCTGTATCGCAGTCTTCTTTGTCTCTCTACGTGCCTCGTTATTTTTTCTGTTTTACTCTCTATGCAACACTCTCTTCCTGGTTGCCTTTCCAATCCCCCTCTGTATCGCAGTCTTCTTTGTCTCTCTACGTCCCTCGTTATTTTTCTGTTTTACTCTCTATGCAACCTCTCTTCCTGGTTGCCTTTCCAATCCCCTCTGTATCGCAGTCTTCTTTGTCTCTCTCTACGTCCCTCGTTATTTTTTCTGTTTTACTCTCTATGCAACACTCTCTTCCTGGTTGCCTTTCCAACCCCCCCTCTGTATCGCAGTCTTCTTTGTCTCTCTACGTCCCTCGTTATTTTTCTGTTTTACTCTCTATGCAACACTCTCTTCCTGGTTGCCTTTCAGCCCCCCCTCTGTATCGCAGTCTTCTTTGTCTCTCTACGTGCCTCGTTATTTTTCTGTTTTACTCTCTCTTCTTTGTCTCTCTACGTGCCTCGTTATTTTTCCTCTCTGCAACACTCTCTTCCTGGTTTGCCTTTCCAATCCCCTCTGTATCGCAGTCTTCTTTGTCTCTCTACGTGCCTCGTTATTTTTTCTGTTTTACTCTCTATGCAACACTCTCTTCCTGGTTGCCTTTCCAATCCCTCCCTGTTTCGCAGTCTTCTTTGTCTCTCTACCACCCTCTCTTTTTTCTATGTCCCTTTCTCTCTGCATCTCGATCAAGCGTGGTAAGCGTATTAATGTATACATAATGGAAGTAGTGAGTAAAGGAGATACATTCCAAAAGAATATTTTCTTAGACTCATGTGTACATTTTCATTTTGCTAAAAGTTCTTCCTATCAAAAACGAGCGAACAAAGTGTGTATGACATTGTGACAATTCTTTATTTTACCTTCTCACTTCTTAGATTCTTAATTTTTTTCTTATACTTTCTTTTTCCCCACTTCTAATTGCCGTAATTCATCATGTATAATACGCATTTTTTTTTCTAAAAAAAAAAGCAAAATAAGGAGTGCGTATTATACACAACTACAAAAACTCTTTAAAAATGGCCGTTTCATAGGTTGATTTCAGTTGCGAAATGACTATTCACCGCAAACTTAAGACAATTTGACACTAACATTCGACGATTGCGATCCCATAAGGTTTGGTTTGGTTTGTTATGTTTTACAGCATATCAACCTCAATGGGTAATTTAATGCCGACAACTTTTTTTTTCCTGGTAATATTTCTGTTTTGTCAAAAATCTATTTCTGGTAATATTTTTTTCCTCAAAATTATATAGCTGGTAATATTATTTTCAAAAACGTATTGCTGGTAATAATTTTTTTACAGATTATTTCTTGTATCAAATCCTATTTTTACACTTTCATAATACTTTTTTACCTCAGTTTCGGGGTTAACTATTTGCCCATAGCTGGGACCCTAACAGGTGCTACCACCCCGGGTCAGGGTGGACCTGGGAACACCAGCAATCAAGAGGGGGTTCCACATTCCTCAAAACCTCCTGATCAGAGGCCTTGCTGTTGGACTCGGATGTAGTTTATCGTCTTACCCTGGACTCGGATGTAGTTTATCGTCATACCCAGGACGGGCGATCCCATATGGATGTCAAATACAATCATATATACCTAACAATACTTACAAATGTAAAATAAGAATTATAATAAAATTAAATTTGAATAATATTATTCTATGGTCAAAAAACATTTTAATAAGAGTAGGAAACGTTGGCCGTAATGAAATTCGAGAGGTACAATATATATATGGTTTGATTACCAAACAAGGGATACGTTTTATGCATGAGTAGAAGCATTTTCATATATTTTCAGCATCATTTTAGGGGTGCGTATTATGGATGAAGGCGTATTATACATGAGGAATTACCGTCTTTTATTCTTGACTTTCATTCTTTTCGTTTTTCTCGCATTTTTACCTTCTTGAATTCTTTGTGTATTTTCTTCATTCACCCAGAATGCAACTGTTGGTTTTTACTTAGCAAACACACCTAAGATAATTTATTTTAATTCAATCTCCTAGATTTCAGTTATTGCTAAAAAGAAAAAATTGAAAAAAAGGGAATTGAAATTTCCATTACAGTTTCTGTATTTCTTTCTAATCGATAAACCTGAATTCTCTTCCTTCTTGTTGATTTCACTGAAATAAGTTGCTTTAAAAAAAACGCTTTACTTTGTATTGTTATTAGTTCTAACCATGGAATTTGTGGACATCAAGTGTTAGTTTTTTTCTAAGTAGATATTAGAGTTGTTTAATGTAATTACTGAAGGTTTGTCCTTGTAAATAAGTGAGGAGAAAAAGAAATGTGCAACCTCTGTACAAAATCTGCTTATTTTATACAAAGAAGCTGAAAGTATTATACAATGTGCTTTCAAAAGAAATCTATGTGGTCATTCAGAACTGTAATATAATTTATCGTATTGACGTGAATAAAGAACGAAGGGAAATACAGAATGAACGGGTCGGAATACTGAAAATACCGCATGCAAAGGTTTTGAGTCACTTAACTCTCTCAAGAATAACATCATCTTGGATTAAAATACGCAGGCCGATTGTTTATGCTAAAGGATAAAAAACAGGTTGCATAAAATCTTCAGCCTTCAAGTTCTTATTTTGGGTAGTGATGAAGTTTTAAAAGGTGAATATTTTGTTTAAAAAGATGATGAAAATTATCAAAATATGACAAATAATATCTCAAATTGAAATCGCTAATGAGTTTGGAGTATCAAGTCATGTTCTAAAAATGACCCAAAAGAAGCATGCTTATAATGGAAGCGTTTTGGATATGAAAACGACTGGTAGCAATATATAGTGAAAAAAGCAATATAAAACTGTATTCTAATGCCAGGGTCTATGTCTGGAAACCAATTTGTAAAAGAAACAATTCAAAATATACAACAAATACGTTAACATTTTCTGGGGAGAGTTTAATATCTTGGGGTCACATCAAAAGCAATGGTGCAAGAAAGTAGGCAAAAATCGATGGAACAGTGAAAGATATATTACTTTGTTGAAGCTCAAACTATTACCAGATGCAGCAGGTGAAATATTCCAACACAATGTATCACTTTGCCATACATTGCTTAAAACGTTAATCCATTTCATCTAATATTTGTCTATATTTTTGAGATGAGGTATTATGTACACTATTTACATTATTCGGACAATTTCCTCATCTTTGTTGTTATATTTATCCACAACGTTTCGGCCGTTGTACGCTCCGGCCTTCTTCAGGTGGTTGGAATGTCTAACTGAACCATTTCTATGCTTGGTCGGCTCAGGAAAAATCAGGCGAGGCTGACCACATATGAAGGGAAAATGAAGATCACCGCCCTCTGTGGGATCAGGTTGAAATCACAGACAAAAAACAACATTGGAAAATTCGTAAACTTAAGGATATGCCTGGCCACAAAAATCTCCTGAGCCGACCAAGCATAGAAATGAATACAATATGTGAACCAATAATAAGAAGTGCCAGAGAAAAGCGATAATAACAATGAAAATTGCAATATGAGCTCTGGTAAATAACATGAAATGATAAAAGCTAAAATTGCAATATGAGCACTGGTAAAAAAATGATGCTGAAGACATTACGTTTATAAAACCCAGAGATTCAAACACAGATGTCCTCAAGGATAAATAGCACAGTGGATAAAGGCGTTAGTTAGATCCAGTGACAGGACCCAAGGAGTGTGAGTTCAATACCAGGGTAAGCCGGTGGAGTACTTGGAGAGTTGAATTAACAGGAGATAACTGACATTTATTAGACATGTCACGTGGAACTGGAACAGCGAAATAAAGGGTTCAGTTTGACATTCTAAGCATCTGAAGAAGGCCAGAGCGTATAACGGCCGAAACGTTGTGATAAATATGGCAACAAAGATGAGGACAATAGTCCGAATAATGTAAATAGTGTTCATCTAATATGTTGTCATATTTCAGGAGAAATGAATTATCGAGAAAGATCGATGAATATGTTTGTTTATAAGCAGTAATGTGGACTTTGTACACCGGAAAGTTGTCTTTGGATGAATGATTAACAGCGGGTGTGGCAATATGACGGATATATGGGATGAATGTTCGGATATATGGGATGCATGTTCGATTCCTGTCGGAGAAAGCATATTTTCTACGAAATTTCTTGACATTAATTAAAACAGAACAATTACTCAAATTTATTTGTCGGATTTAATCCATTTCGTCGAATAATTCTAAAGTAATGGATTTTTTTATTCATCCGACATTTTTATGACGTCAAACGTTTTTTTTTTGTTTTTGTTTTTTTTTTTTGTGGATATCCATATTTGAGTAGATGCTGCGTTTATTTTTACACAGCATATTTATTTTCGTCTACCGGCCTGAATATTCGATGAATTCGAAGGGGGCATTTTCTTTCATAAGTATTCCTAAAATGGATAACGACTCTGATTGAGGAATCGGAGAACCGAGTTCGAATTCCAGTCGAATACATTACATTCAATTACGTGCTAATACCCTAGGGAAAGGTATGAATTCTTTTCTTCTTCCCACCCCAGCTATGGACATATCGGGTTCTATAGTCTTGGATAGCAACTGGTCTACCGTAGAAAGAAAAGACAAACTACTGCAGGAAAAAATCTGCCTCATCAGTCATTGTATCGAAATATATATATATATATCTTTCGATATATATATATATTTATATATATATATATATATATATATATATATATATATATATATATATATATATATATATATATATATATATATATCTTTCGATACATGACTAATGAGGCATTATATATATATATATATTATATATTATATATATTATATATTATTATTTATATATATATTATATATATATATATATATACATATATTATATATATAATGCCGTTTTTTTAGGAAAAGTGTATTTCTGTGGAATTAGTATTTACTAAGCTTAGTCTGACACAAGACGACAGATATGGAGCACAGGTTGATGGCTTGTCAACCAAATTGTTATCTACGAAGCTTTAATTAACTTGACACAAGGCTATAATATATCGCCCCTGATGACCTTAAATATTATTTACGAAGATAGGTTTTGCACAATGCCAAGGTATTGAGTACTTGGTGAGTATCGAACTCACACCCGTTTAGGAATGTTTAAACAAACTAGTATTCACTAACCTTATCTTAGTTTGGATCAAGGCTACAATCTGAGTTATCTTATGGGAATTGAAAATAAGTTTACCTTGCAATGAGCCACAATTCCTGGGCACCCAGTGTGAATCGAATTCTAATGTCCAATCTTACAACTACCAGCAGATTAGTGTTTGGTTTAAGGGGAAAATAGAAGAAAAAATGCGTGTCACTCAGTAATGATCGAACTTACTTCTCACTAGGAATGTCTTGTCAAAAGAACTGTTATTTAATAAGCTTAGCAATATTTGACTGAAGGCCACAATATGAAACACTCTGAGAGGCTTCAAAATATATTTTAGTCTTATAACTTAGCTAAAAATATCAGGACAGCTAGAGAGATAGGACTCACTAATTACTGATGGGTAAGCGACGGAGAGTGAGGAGAAAGAGCTCAGCATAAGCTACAAGAAGACAGAATGCATGGTCATCAGTAAGAGGATGAGGCCGAAATACGATTTGCAGGTCGGGAACACTGTAATCAAGCAGACGGAGAAGTTTAAATATCTGGGAAGCGTTTTGACACAGGACGGTAAGTGC